CTTGAATCACGATCTTTTGCAAAATCTTTAACGAAATAAACCTCTCAACTACATCTATACAGATTACTAAAGTCTTAACAAAACAGACATTTCACTCACATCTTTTATGGATTACTCACTTTCTTAGCTCAACATACGTCTCATATTACTCTCGTTGAAATGGAGTTGGTATCTGCAAGGCCGTGACTGCGACGAGGCCAACTCTGCGATGAAGCGACGAGGTCAACCTTGCAAAAAAGTGACCTGGCCGAGTCCACGACAAAGCGACATGGTCAAGTATGCGACGAGGTCAACCCTGAGCAAAGTGACGGGGCCGAGGCCACGATGAAGTGACAAGGCCAATTTTGCGATAAAGCGACGAGTTCAAACCTGCAGCAAGGTAACGAGACCGAGTCCACGATAAAGCGACGAGGTCAACCTTGCACCAAGGTGACGAGGCCGAGTCCACGACAAAGCGACGAGGCTGGGTCTGAGATGAAGTGACAAGGAAAACCTGCAAAGAAATAACGAGGCCGAGTTCGCAGCAAGGCTGGCAAACCCAAGTTCACGACATAGTGGCGAGGCCGGCAAGCTCAGGTTCATGACATAGTGGAGAAGCCGACAAGCCCAAGTCAAGACGTAGCGGCGAGACCGGCAAGTCCAAGTCAAGAGGTAACGGTAAGGCCGACAAGTCCAAATCAAGACGTAGTGGCAAGGTCGGCGAGCCCAAGTTCGCGACAGAGCAGCGAGCTCGGGGATCCTAAAAAGAGATGTCCAAGCAGAAACATCATTCTAATGGGTCAAGCTCGTAACAGCAAGCCCACGAATGACCGAGAACTGATCCAAACACCATTAGGAAGCGGCCTTACGCGCTGCGGACGACCGAGAAGGACTATTTTGTGAATGGACCATACGGAAAACCTTCGGTGACAAGTGGCGGCAGGAAGGTGACAAGTGGCAGCAGCCGGTAACAAGTGGCGGATCTTTGGTGACACATGGCGGAATGTTGGGAGACCAAGTTCCGGATTTTAGGGATCATGTAGGGTTGGATGCTGACCATTCCTAGGATTTTTGGAGATCTTGTCTTTGAGTTTTGCCTAGAAAACCCTTAGAGCATCTTCATTGGTGGTATCTCACCAATATAATACTAATATTTTTTATAATATTTTAAGTTGAGAGACTCTCTACTTAATATCACCTCTATTAATTAGATACCCAATGAGTTTTTCATCTATAAAATATTAATTGTTTTAATATTATTAACTTAAAATTTTTATGTTAAATTTTCAATAAAATTTTAAACATATTATATTACATTTTAAATTATAATTTTTAATTTTAAAAATCCTAATTTTTATTAAATATTGTAACGTTGTATTAACTAAAATAATATTATTTTCTATTGTATATTAGTTTTATGTAAAATAAATCGAAACTTATATTAAATATTTTCATATCTCATTTTTAATAATATATGATTTTATATATAATCTAAAACAATATTAATTTAATATTTTTATTAACTTTAAATAATTATAATGTTAATATATAATTTATATTTATGCATAATGGAGCTTGAAATATAGATAATTTTATTTTATGAATTATAAAAAATAAAATAAAATAAAAAATAACAACATATAAACATTTTAATTAATACTCTAAACTATAAAGAATGTGATTTATGAAAAAGAAATGAGAACTAATTATAAATTGATAAGTGTTATGTTTTTGAGGAGAGAGTGAGTCTCTCATGGGTATCTCAAATGAGATACTCTTTCAAGGGTATCTCAACAAATTTTATTAAAAAACT